CAGCAGCGGGTATGGAGGAGCAGAACTGCTCAATGGTGTCCATCCTGCGGTTCAAAGTTTGCAACAGGTCCTTGATGTCTTGTGAGGTATTGCTCGGCTGAGGGGTGTTGACCCGGCTTACAAGTTCGATGGTAGGTACTGGTGTGACCGTGGCGGCAAGGGGTGCAGCAGCGCACTCGTTGAAAATTCTATCTGCCGCGGTTGCATATAGTTCTGGTGTCGTAGAGTAATCTACTGCGGACAGGATGTTGCGTACTTCTGTGGGTAGCTTTTGCGCGTGAAGCTGGCGCAGGATAGAGTCGGGGAGTCTGTCTGTGTGACGGGAGTTCAGCCGACACATCTCCTCCCAGAGACGTCCCGGGGTTGAGTTCCCGAGGGAGATAGAGGATAGATCTTGCAGGAGATTGGGGCTGGTCTGTTGATAACACATCTTCAAGGCAGCCCGCAGGGTAGCGAATTTGTTGTCATCTGGAGGGTTGGAAATGGTTTGTGAGACCCGCGTGGCCACTTCCGTGGGCAAGGCACAGAGCAGGGCGCCATACTTTTGCTCGTCGGTCGCTCGTGAGCCGGCGAGGGCTGCTTCCACGTGGTCTAGCCAGTCCTCGACGTTGTGGTTGAAAGTCGGCAGAGAGATCCATCCGTCCTCCATCCTGTGTGAGTGCTTATCTCCGGGAGTCACCATTTGTAGGCGTTTCGTGGTATAATGTTGTCTAGCACTCAGGATGGATGGAAACTCTAAGGTGGTTTTCTTATATAATATAAGTTATATGATAGACAGTCTGGTGCTGGAGGTGCCGTGTGGTGAGGAGCTGCTCAGTTGAGACGTTAGGTGAGTAGCGTGTTGAAGGAGGTAGATGTGCAGGAGCTTCGTTAGAGAAGATGTTGCCTGTTGCTGGCTTCCTGGTTGAATGAATGCTGGACAGCGAGGAGCTTGCTGGGAGGAGGTGTTGCGTGTTCAGGAACCGAGAGCAGAATAAGAGCTGGTTGGTGAGGAAGCTCAGAGAAGGACAGCTGGTGGGTCGCCATGCTCGCTGGCGGGAGCGAGGACCGCCAGGCAGCGGCGGAGGAGGAGGTGTTGCTTGTTCAGGAAGAGAGGCTAGAATGAATCTCAATGGAGAGACAGAGCTTATATACCCAGCAGCCGTGAGTCATCTATGAGTCATGTTGGGAAAACCCGAGAAGTAACCGGTCTTTGGCTCCGTTGCTAGGATACTGCGGCATCTGGTGGAAGGCAGGTAGTTTGGTTGCTAGGGAAGGCGTCGCAGGTGGCCTGCAGCTACGCAGTTTGTAGGGGAGACGTCCAATACAGGAGCGTCCTCTTTTTTTAATGTTCAGATATGGCAACCCTATATATATATATATATATATATATATATATATATATATATATATATATATATATATATATATATATATATCCATATATATGATATATATATATATATATATATATATATATATATATATATATATATATATATATATATATATATATATATATAGTGGACTTTATTCCTCCTTGGTATAGATATGTAGATGATGTTCTTTGTCTTTGGCCTAAAAACAGTGACCCATTGGAATTTTTAGACAAGCTTAATAATATTGTCCCTAGTATCACATTCAAAATTGAAAGAGAAATAAGTGAATCCCTTCCATTTCTTGATATGCTTATCATGAGAAATGGCCAAAACTATAAATTTAAGGTATATAGAAAGCCCACACAGGTAGACAGTTTCATTCACTTTTTATCCAATCACCTTGAGGCTACCAAAATGTCAGTTTTTTCTGCTATGTTCCTACGATGTCTGCGTATTTGTGACTCTGAATTTATTGACGATGAATTTAAACACATTCGTTCTATTGCACAGAAACTTGGGTACCCTTCTGTGTTTGTTGATCGTTGCTTTAAAAGGGCTAAAAAATCCTTTCATTCCTCTCTAACCAGACAAGTTAAATGTTGCCTCTGAAGATGTCTTGAATAAAGACGAAAGCTAAGGTACTCCGTTGTTTCCATTTTCCCGTGTGATTTTATCAAGATTTATCTTATCCACGTTTTCATTGTGGATTTACATGTGATATATATATATATATATATATATATATATATATATATATATATATATATATATATATATATATATATATATATATATATATATATATATATTAAATAGTTTGTGTACCATTATAATATTACTGTACTTTCACATACTCAAATATAGTATGCTTTAAATACACCCCAAACATACTTAAACTTTATAAGTAACAGTTAAACAAAAAGCAAAAACGACATATAGGATAGGGAAAAAAGTAAAAAAAGTGTAAAAAATTAGGACCATCTTTATTTCTGAAATGAAAACTACAACTTTCTACAAAGTAACTTTTCTTGTTTTTTGTTGGCAAATTCTTCAATGACATTGTCAAAAACTATTTCATCTGTCAATTGTCGCTCTATAGACAGTATGGCAAGATTTCTCAACCGCAAGGTGCTCATAGTAGATCTTAAGTAATTCTTGATCAGTTTTAGTTTCGAAAAACTCCTCTCACAGGTAGCAACACTAACAGCAATTGTGAGGAAAATCCTCAGCATTATTACTATATTTGGAACCGAGTTCCCAAGGTTATACTTTTGAATAAACTGCAAAAGTTCAAGGGGGCCTTCTTTCCACGTCTGTATTCTGTCTGTAATAGTTATAGCAGCAACAGCAACAAAATGCTGAAGTCTTTTTCTCTCAACGAGGAACTCCTCTTTATCAATGTCGTCGTGATCGTGATCTATTTGACACTCATATTTATTATCCAAAAGATTCAATGGGGTAAGGAAGGCATATTTCTCAGCAAGTTCATGAAGCTGTTGAAATCTCAAAGTTATTTCTTGGATCACTCTGTCCAGCGAAGAAAACATTTCTCTCCTCAATTCAATGTCGTATGGCAATTCAGCATCTCGTGATCCTTCACCAAACATTTGTTTCTTCTTTTTGGGTCGAAGCTGACGCTCCATGACTATCCCCAGATCATTGCAAATTTCTTTGGCATAGTTTACTCCATTACTCACTAAAAAGTAGCAACTTAATCTAAAATTACAGACTCAGAGTACAGTGAAAATGGATGTCTGACATAAGCCCCCCCAACGAAAGCCACCCAGACAAAAGCCCCCCAGACAAAAGCCCCCTACTTTGATCGGGGTGGCTTTTGTCTGACAACCCTAACCCTAACCTAACCTAACCTAACAACCTAACCTAACTAACCTAACCCTAACCTAACCAATAATTAACCACAGAGAAGAACAGTATATTTTACCCTCAACTATTTAATTATGTCCGTAACTTTTGAAAGCCCTTACTGTTGTCAGACAAAAGCCACCCCGATCAAAGTAGGGGGCTTTTGTCTGGGTGGCTTTCGTCTGGGGGGCTTTTGTCTGGGTGGCTTTTGTCGGGGGGGCTTTTGTCTGTACCCCAGTGAGGATAGTGTCTTAGTATAAAATCGCAATGCTGTGAAACAAAATCTTAATATTTAATCTCAGTACCGCAGCAAAAGTCACATCAATATTTTTTAACCAATACTTTAATATTTCTTACCTTATAGTCTTATGTCTTCCAACGAAGTAAATAACTGGATCGAAAACACAAGAGAACTTAAAAGTCGTCTCGCCTCCCCTCGTCTTGTCACGATGGAGACTTGTGCAGAACTGAAGTGAATTGCTTGTAACTGGTGGATTGGTCGGCTGTACATGAACTGATATGACCCGAGACTGCATGGTTTTGCAGCTACTGGAGACGTTAATCCTTCCCTTTGTATCGGCGGCAAGTTAATCCTCGTCGTATCTGACCTAACACCTGACCCACACCACATGAGCAGCTGCAAATGTAATTGTAATTATGTGGGTCAGACAGGAAAAACACTGCAGCTTAGAATCAAACAACATAAGTATAATATCAGAACAGCATCTGAAAGCAGTGCCTTGTTCGTTCATGTTAGGAATAATAATCATCCCATTGCTTGGGAAAAAAGCTTAGAAGTATTTAAATCATCTTGTGTCACAGAAAGACTTCTGGTTGAAGCTAGTTTGAAGCTACATTTGGGTACATTTGGGTAATTAGTCGGACCGGCTACAGTGCGTATCAGAGACGTGACCGGCCGCCTAAGCGGCTAACGAGCCTATCAGAGGCAAAGAGGATAAACAATAGCCCACCTGGGCACAGGTCAATGACCCACAACGAGGCCTGGGGGTGAAAATTTTTTTAGAGGAGAAACATAATACAGTATATACTAATCTACACCAAGAAGATGTCATTGAAAATATAACAACACGAAATGACGTGTGCTAAATAAAAACGTATAAATCTGTATTTTGAAGCTGTGCAATTTAATAAATTGGAACTATATGGGTTTTGAATTCCACTATTGATAAAAAGCAGTATGAATATGAGGAAGAAGGCCAGATTTACCGTTGTTTACCTCTGACGTGACGAGCAGCTACAACGAAACAAATCAATTAAAAGTGTATAGACGGATATTATATCAGTGAGTGCATTACTTATTGGATACTGTATTCAGAAAATTTGAATACAGGGAGTTATTCAGAATTAGGTATAAGTACAATAATTTGATATTTAGGTCCCCAATAATTATATAAGGAGCTTTTCTAATGAGTCCTAGTGTTATAGGTTTTAGTCGTAAGTATGGCGAACTGTAAATGTTAATGAAGCAACAAGACTTTGCTAATGAAGAACTCTTAAATAATTGTAATAGCCATTCATTGTCTTACTCAAACGCGGCGTCTTTACCACATACAAATTTTAGTATGGGTTATAAACTGGATTTATTTTCAGCCAAATAATCACATTTATAAAAATAATATGTAAAAAATTAAAACATATAAAGTATATTATTAAGATATTTTATTATGATATTAAATTGGTTTAATAAGCCAATTAGGCAGAAATAATATTCAAAATTTATCCACAATACAAGGTGTATCTAAGTTAGTTATAAACAAAATGAAGGAAAGGTCACGAAAAATCATTTGAGGCGGTCAGAAAATAAGACATATCGTAGGTAAGAGCTCGAGTTACGTATAGAAATTAGCACAAATGGGAAGTAATAAGTATAGGTCATCACATAAGGTAGACATTAGCAAATTACGCAGAGAACTAGGAGAAAAAACCTGGGGTGAAGATTGTGGTGGGAGGAATCTGGCGATGGTCGGGTCTACCACAGGCTACATCTAGAAATTCTCTTAATATATGTGTAATTTATTTATGATATGATGCATTTTGTAGTTCTGGTATTACATCGTCATAATGTGTATAAACAAGGAAATTTCTAATTATCTTTGCTGATTGTGAAGAAATAAGTTGATAAATATGAATAGCTTGAGTACCGTATTCAGGATTCTTCTTAGTGACTTAAACTGCTTATGTAAGCCTACGGACAGTGTAATGAACAGAGGAGTGAAATTCTAGGCAGTGGATACAGACTAGAGGCTAATTAGTGACTTAAGAACCAGGTAGGTGTAGCCTGTGTCCAAAATAAATTAAAGTGAGAAGGGGTTGAAGGCGTCGTTTAGGTATTCATTGCTAATAATATTTCGTAATTTTCGGGATTTTCATTAAAAAATGGTAATAGTGGAGAAGATGGGGCTAATATGGAGGACTACACTGCTGACACATTTGTTTTGATGTTTATATTCTTGCGAGTGGATATTTTGCGAACAGCGCAAGATCTATATTTGACCATGACTCTTGCAGCATTTGTCATTTATTTTGTCGTGAGTTGATCGTTGTGTAGCTGTAAACATACCTATCAATATTTCTGTTGTGGATGGAATCTTATCATTATAAATGAGGCGACATTTACTAGAACCTTATAGAACCTGACCTAACCAACCAAAGAAACCTACCTAACTTCCTAGCCAGGGGCAGACCCCCCGTCATATTAAACAGAAAGTACTTAGCCAATCAGAGCACACTCACGGTAAAATATCATTACTAGGAACTTAGCCGGTCAGGGCAAAATATCCAAAACACATTCTTACTTTCTGTATATTTTCATCAGTGGGTTCTGATCAAATAATCATTTTGGTCAATATTTCGAAGGTGCCACCACCTAATTGACTTGAAAATGGGTTTTTATTGTGTTAATCATCATGTTAAATACAAATATGACCTTCAGTGACATTGGAAATGAGCTGTTGTTGAGATATTGGAAAAAGTGGGTGGTCAAACAATGCCGAAACCTCAAAAAATATAAAAAAAAGCCTAACCCAACCTACCTTAGCTTACCTAACCTAACCCCTAGTGTAAGAAACTTACCTTAAGTAAGAGATACATGAGGATAGAGTGAGGCGACTTGAATGAGGAAGTGGTGTCTTCTTCAGTGTCCATCTCTTACCACAGCACCATGCATGGTGATCTAAACGGTACTGACACTCTGAATTACAACTTGGGACACTTTACATGAAACAAAAACACCGTAAGCTCTAAAATGTGACAGCGGCTGCTGCTTCTTTGTACAAGATTAACTGAACAATATGGCAGCCAGTCATTGTACATCTATCTCACACAGACGCCATCTTCCAACTGGCTGCAAATGTTGATTAGTGCAAGAGTATTACGTCACATCAACACTCGCGTTGATGGGCCAAATACTATAAAATAAAAGTTAAAATAACTCAAAACTATACATTTCTGACATAAACGTTATAGAATAAATTATTTTTATTTTTTCTTTATCTCCTCATATATGACTCACTGTTCAGTTAGGTAGTGGCAACTTCTAAATACCAACCATCATTTTTATAAAAATTGCTTTGTTTGGTAGATAATTAGGCGACTAGGCACGCACTATTTTGTCTTTGTCTGCGTGATGTGGCGGTACACAGCCAATCATTTCGATTGACACCAGTCGCCAGTTTATATTTATAAGCCACATGGATTGGGTCGCTGCTCTCACTTCCACAAAAATCGTCAAATTACACCATATATTAGTAAGTTCTTTCTGTTTAATATGCTGGGTGTACAGAAGGGTTGAGCCCCATGGCTAGGAAGTTAGGTAAGGGTAGGTAGGTTTGTTTGGTTACAGTGGTGAGGTCTTCTAACAATGCTTCAGCCACTTGTTTTTCTTTTCAACTAAGGTTAGGTTTAATATAGAGGTAACCACTTTTTATCACATTTGCCATAACTATGAGTGTGTCCATTATAAAACACAGTGAAATTGCAGCATTTTTAAATTCGTTTTCGATGAAAAATCAGCGGCTGTCAAGTCATAAATAATTACTGAAGATGGTTAACATAGAAGTTGTTTGATTACATTCAATTTTTCCACATGATCTTTCGATGATATTAATAACAATGATACAACATTACATAGAACTTAAGAAATAGAACCTAACTTAACCAAAGAAACCTACCTAACTTCCTGCTGGGAGACTCCACCCCCTGGACCCCTGGCCCCAAAAGAAATTTGGTCCATAGAGAACAAGGAAAAACGTTGGCAGTGTAATTGGGATTGTTGCAATGGCTAATATTCCACAAACACCGGGAGAGATTTAGTTTCATCCACATGAATGCTTACACTAATGAACTATTTACCGGCCACTGTTACAGTATATGATTTATCGGATATAAAATGTATAAACCTAACTTACCTAACTGTACATTGGTTAAGTTGGTTCATTTTGTCACCGATTAATCATATACATGAAGTAATGTAACAATATTTGATAGGTCTTTGTAACAGGGATGTGCTTCCTCCGTTTTTTCCGGTATTCATTGACCAAAGATCAATGACGTTACACAACGCCACTATAAGAAGCATTATAATATGCCCCTCCACCCTATCCACTTGATCCACCCTTGGCGGGGGAGGGGCTAAGCATTATTCAATATAATTAAGTTTCTTTAAAAATTTTACACTTTCTTATGATCACAATTTATCACCCATACCATATTTCATAGTTGTATAGGCAACTCAGTGTGTGTGTCCCCCAGGAGGTCAGGGCTGTAGGGCATGTGTTTGTCCTCCAGGAGGTCAGGGCTGTAGGGCATGTGTGTGTCCCCCAGGAGGTCAGGGCTGTAGGGAATGTGTGTGTCCCCCAGGAGGTCAGGGCTGTAGGGCATGTGTGTGTCCCCCAGGAGGTCAGGGCTGTAGGGCATGTATGTGTCCCCAGGAGGTCATGGCTGTAGGAATGTGTGTGTCCCCAGGGGCTGTAGGGCATGTGTGTGTGTGGCCCCCAGGAGGTCAGGGCTGTAGGGCATGTATGTGTCCCCCAAGAGGTCAGGGCTGTGAGGCATGTGTGCATCCCCCATGAAGTCAGGGCTGAAGGGCATGTATGTGTCTCCCAGGAGGTCAGGGCTGTAAGGCATGTGCGTGTCCCCCAGGAGGTCAGAGCTGTAGGGCATGTGTGTGTGTGTTCACCAGGAGGTCAGAGCTGTAGGGCATGTGTGTGCCCCCCAAGAGGTCAGGGCTGTAGGGCATATGTGTGTCCCCCAGGAGATCAGGGCTGTAGGGCATGTGTGTGTGTGTGCTCAGGAGGTGCTGTAGGGCATGTGTGTGTGTCAGGGCATGTGTGAGGGGTCTGTGCACCCCCACCAGGAGGTCAGGGCTGTAGGGCATGTGTGTGTCAGGAGGTCAGGGCTGTAGTGTCAGGAGGTCAGGGCTGTAGGGCATGTGTGTGTCCCCCAGGAGGTCAGGGCTGTATGTGTGTGTCCACCAGGAGGTCAGGGCTGTAGGGCATGTGTGTGTGTCAGGGCTGTAGGGCATGTGTGTGTGTCCCTCAGGGGTCAGAGCTGTAGGGCATGTATGTGTACCAGGATGTCAGGGCTGTAGGGCATGTGTATGTCCCTCAGGGGGTCAGGGGTGTAGGGCATGTGTATGTCCCTCAGGGGGTCAGAGCTGTAGGGCATGTGTGTGTCCACCAGGATGTCAGGGCTGTAGGGCATGTGTAATTTGTGTATGTCCCTCAGGGGGTCAGGGGTGTAAGGCATGTGTATGTCCCTCAGGGGGTCAGGGGTGTAGGGCATGTGTATGTCCCTCAGGGGGTCAGAGCTGCAGGGTTGCTTTGATTTAAATCACATGATTTAAATCAGAGTAAAAAAATCATGATTTAAATCAAAATGATTTTTTTACTAATAACTGTTTTCTCTTTTTATTCTACATGATTGAAAAGTATATGCAATGCAGCAGGTTAATAACATCAAGATGATTAAAATGCTAAGACCAGGATATGTTCCACCTAATAGACATCAAATTGGAGGATCTCTTTTGGATCAAGCCTACGATTCAGTGATTAAGAATTATTCAGATGAAATTAGTGGGAAAACAGTTTGCTGCATGGCCATGGATGGATGGAGTAATGTCCATAATGAGCCTATAGTATGTATAACTTTAACAGCGGACAACCGTATTTATCTTGTTGACTCTATAGACACAGAATAAAGACACACAGCTGAATATCTGTTGAAATTAGCTGAATGTGCTACAAAAAAAGTGTGAAGACAAATTTGGATGCACAGTAAGAAGCTGTGTAACAGATAATGCTGCTAATATGGCAAAAATGAGAAGTGAATTCGGACAAGATAAATCCATTATAACATATGGTTGCTCTGCACACCTGTTAAATTTGCTTTCACAAGACCTGTAAATCAAGAACATTAAGGAGCACATTACTGAAATCATTAAGTACTTCAGAAATAATCACATCCCAGGATCTTTGTATAGAAGAGCAGGAGGAACAATGCTAGTAATGCCATCAGATACACAATGGAACACAGTGACATTGAATCTTATTTAAAGAACTGGGAGACCCTTGTCAAAGTGTGCAAAGAAAATAGTGAAGACATTGGTAAGAAAATTGAAAGGAAAGTTAATGATAAGGCATTAAAAAGAACTGCAGAAGACTATTTAGAGAGACTTAAGCCTATTGCTGTGGCATTGGACTGTGTCCAGAGAGAACATACCCTATTAAGTGATGCTGTAGAAATCTGGGTAAAACTGAAAACTGATATTAAGGAGTATTTAACAGATAAGAAGGATATGGATAAATTTGAAAAAAAGAATCAAAATAGCATTGACACCTGCCCATTTTCCAGCTAATGTGATAGATCCAAGGTATCAGGGCAGACATCTGACTCCTGAGCAGCGAGACATTGCAGAACAGTATGTGTGCGAGTCTCTTCCACATTTCCATTCAACATTAATGTCCTTCCATGGAAGAAGTGCACCATTTAAAGAGGTCTATTTTGGTAAAGATGTTGTAAAATCTCTCTCACCCCTTGCTTGGTGGCAGTATTTTGCCAATGATATGACAGAAAATGTAATGGATGTTCCTAGGCAATTATTTACAGCTGTTGCATCATCAGCAGGGGTTGAGAGAATTTTTTCCACATATGGATTTGCACACTCAAAGGTAAGAAATTGCCTAGGACAGGAAAAGGCATCTAAGCTTGTCACAGTACATAAGCATTTCAATGTTCAACTAAGCTAATTTAAATGTTTTGAACTATGTTTTTTGTTTACAGAATGAGAATATTGTGTTGACGAAGTTATTACCGGTAATTCTTAATACACTATAATCCTACAAATGTAAGAAAATAAACTTGTTACCAGTATTATTTTTTTTTACAAAATGCGAATATTACATTCTGTTGACTTGAAGAAGTTAAGTTATTAATTTTTGAAACACTGTAATCCTATAAGAGCATTTATGTTAAATTTCATTATTACGTTTGGATTTGTGCACTCAAATGTAAGATATGTTACCAGTTTTCTTTTATTTTACAAAAGGAATATTATTGTGTTAAATTCCATTGGTACATCTACTGCATAAATATCTTAATGCCAATTTTGTGTTTATTATCCCAAATAAGCTTTGGTTGAAAAATACTGTTTTTATGGTGTAAAAATACTATTTAAATGCAATTAGTAAAAAAATGAAAAAAAATCGATTTAAATAAAAAAAATCCGATTTAAATCAAATAAATCGATTTTTTTTATTATTTTTTAAAAATTATGATTTTTTCCAACCCTGCAGAGCTGTAGGGCATGTGTGTGTCCACCAGGAGGTCAGGGCTGTAGGGCATGTGTGTGTCCACCAGGAGGTCAGGGCTGTAGGGCATGTGTGTGTCCACCAGGAGGTCAGGGCTGTAGGGCATGTGTGTGTCCACCCAGGAGGTCAGGGCTGGGCATGTGTGTCCATCAGGGGCTGGGAAGGTAGGGCATGTGTGTGTCCACCAGGATGTCGAGGCTGTAGGGCATGTGTGTCCACCAGGAGGCTCAGGGCTGTAGGGCATGTGTGTGTCCACCAGGAGGTCAGGGGCTGTAAGGGCATGTGTATGTCCATCAGGGGTCAGTAGCTGCAGGGGCGTGTGTGTCCACCAGGATGTCGAGCTGTAGGGCATGTGTGTGTCCACCAGGAGGTCAGGGCCAGGGGCATGTGTGCATGCCCACCAGGGGTCAGAGCTGTATGTGGCAGTCCTCTGGGGGTCGAGCTGTAGGGGCAGGTGGCCACCAGGATGTCGAGAGCTGTAGGGGCATGTGTGTGGCACCCAGGAGGTCAGGGCTGTAGGGCATGTGTGTCTCTCCTAGGAGGTCAGGGCTGTAGGGTATGTGTCCCCCCAGGAGGTCAGGGTTTTAGGGCATGTGTGTGTGTCTCGCAGGTGGTCAGGATTGTAGGGCATGTGTGTGTGCCCCCCAGGAATTCAGGGCTGTAGGGCATGTGTGTGTGTGTCCCCCAGAAGGTCAGGGCTGTAGAGCATGTGTGTGTCCCCCCAGGAGGTCAGGGGTGTAAGGCAGGTGTGTGTGTTCCCCAGGAGGTCAGGGCTGTCGGGCATGTATATGTTCCTCAGGGGTCAGGGGTGGGGCATGTGTGTGTCCACCAGGAGCAACAGGCCAGGCATGTATGTCTCAGGGGTCAGTGCAGGGCATGTGTATGTCTACCCCAGGGGGTTGTAGCTGTAAGGCATGTATGTGTCTCCCCCAGGGGGTCAGGGCTGTAGGGTATGTGTGTGTCCCTCAAAGGGTCAGGGTTGTAGGGTATGTGTGTGTTCCCAGGTGGTCAGGGCTGTAGGGGATGTGTGTGTGTGTCCCCCAGGAGGTCAGGGCTGTAGGGTATGTGTGTGTGTCCCTCAGGAGGGGAAGACCCTATGATGTGGAGGAACATAAAGCTCTCCAGCAGTGGGTATAGAAGCATGTTAAAACAGAAGAGGCTGCAGCAGGAAGAAAACAAGAGGAAATTTTTTTAAAGAAACAGTTATAATCAAAGAAAACAGTGTGAGGAAATGGCTAAAAAATCAAGGCAGAACAGAGAGGCCTTCCAGCAATAAAAACAGAAACGTTTACTTTCCCTGAAAATCTAGCTGATGCAATTAAACCTAAGAATAAAACAAAGCCAAATGAGTGAATATTGATTGAATATTACATGGAAAGAAAACTAAATATTTTGTTTGTATATACTGTTTCATGGAACAGCTTATTTTTCTTATTTTAGTTCTACACATTCTATTGAAACCCCAGTTGCTGGTGCATTAGAGATAAATCCCTTTGGTAAGTACAGTACTGTACAGTAATAAATTTTGTATTCTTACACAATACAGTGCAAAAAAATCTTACCATTTAGTTTATCTTCGCTCAATAACGGTGCACAATTAAAAATATTAAACAAATTCAAGTTTAGTAACAACTAAAATTTGTAAAGGAATTATTAAGACTATATGCATGAAAAATATTGTTACATTAAACATACATGTTTGATTTTGGTTACTGTGTATTTGAATTATTAAGAGCTCACGAAATGAGTCAGAATGTGAGAAATTAAGTTAAATATGGTAGAAACTTCCCAGACCCCCCAGCTCAGAATAATTTTTATTTTATTTTTTATTTTTCAAGACTTCATCACATCCCTGTTGTAAGCATTCCTGTGGTTGAAATGATAAGTCAGATGTGGACAATGTTTACAGTGTCTAGGCATAGGATAGTGATTGGGACAGATGTACAGTATAGTAAAAGTAATGTTATGAAAACTTTATTCCCTCTTATTTTTGGGGCTTCATCAGGAAGTAATAAAGCAAATATCATAAATAGAAAAATTACCTTTAGTTGTTGGTTAAGGTGTGCAATTGTCATCCAGTAATACATTTTTCCTTACTCCCCCCATTAGATTTATATTTAATGCATCTAATTAAAGTTCTGGCATAAATAATTTTACAAACCAATGTACAGTACTGGTACCTGTACTTACCGATGCATTCAGTTGGAACAGCGTAAGACAAAAGTGGGTAATGAAGTGGGAGGAGCTGGTGCTGTGATGATGGGCCGGGCTGTGGCTCACCCTCCTTGGAAACTTCACCACTTCTTGATGAAAACATTATGGGTCAATACGGCTTATAAAATTATCCACAAATTTGGAGAAATAAAATAGTTTCAAAGGAGCTGTAAACATGAGCACAAGGAGAGCATTCACAGCTGGCAGAGTGAGGCACTGAGTGAAGTAATGATCTGCACACACTTTCCATTGGCTGAGCACACAGCTTAGGAAAAAGAAGAGACTGATAGGTGTTGCCTACTCATACATGGGAGTTTGGAACTGCTTTCCTCTTAGGAAGAAAAGGAAATTTAATTAAAATGAGTTATAGTTATGCTTATTGTTTTAAGTGAATGATGAAAATACCAATTGTAGATGAAAAGAAAACTACTGTATAGCTGGAAGCTAGCATGTGCTATACTGAGGGTCCAAACAGCCATGTGAACAGTGTTTTGCTAAAAAAATTTCTCTCTTGAGTTGAACACATTTAGTAAATGAATTTTCAGCCCTAAATTTAAGTTTATTCAACTAAATTATCATTAATTGGTTACCAATATACTATACGTATACTCTTTAAGCGTGACCTTACTTCATGTATAATGTACAGTATATGACACTTAATTTTCTTGATTCCAGAAGATTTCTGTACCGTTCCAGTAGAGTGGCCATGGATGGCGGTTTATTGTCCCTTAAGTGGAACAACCACCGCTCCACATTCCTTCATGTCCTCTCCACTGTCAGGCGGAAGGTAAAGATTATATATATATATATATATATATATATATATATATATATATATATATATATATATATATATATATATATATATATATATATATATATATATATATATATATATATATATATATATATATATATATATATATATATATATATATATATATATATATATATATATATATATATATATATATATATATATATATATATATATATATATATATATATATATATATATATATATATATATCATTTGGCACAGATGTAGGTTGTGATAGTGAAATTTTTGAAAGACTTGCGTTAATTCCCAATTATTCAGGAATGGCTTTGGCTAATAGTCTGTTATTGTATACAGTACAGTATATAAAAAGAATTCCCATCCAGTATTAACCTGTTGTAGGGCTAGGTCCTTTGTTTCATTTGTGTCTTGTATGAGGTGGTGATTGTGGTCCAGTAAAGCCTATCATGTACTGTATCCTCACCCAGTGGTATTTGTACAGTACTTGTTCTTGATATTGAAACAGTTCTTGCCACCAAATGGCCCTCAGAAGTTTTTTAACAGATGAGGTGATATTTTCGATAAAGGCTTTGAATAGACATCATGAACTGTGGGGACTTCAGAGGCTCAGAGACCTAAAACCTTGTGAGTCCCCCTTTACTACATGAAATCTTATCCTAGCTACACTGATAGAGTTGATCAGGAGGTTACAGTGTATGAGATGAAATCCCAGTCCACTGGGAGCTTTAAAGTGGACCTAACCACTACAATATCTCACATTGAACTTGGAACTCTGTTTCAGTTTTTCTAACTGAAGGGCAGCAAAGTTCAAACAAATGTCTTGCAGACACTAGAAGCAGTGATCAAACCAGCACACATAACTGCTTTTAATTTGGCTGTCAAACTATCAAGACAAATTTGAATCTGGTGGTTTGACAAAGATCTTGTGGTGGGTTAAAAAAAGAAAAAGAAGTAGATCTAATGTGTAATTTTTGTAATAATGATGATCTATGAGTAAGTATTATACAGTACTCTTAGATACACATTAGTGTTAAGGATTACAGACCTTGGAATTTACCTCTGTGAGTGCTGCCATAATTAGAGAGGTGTTAGGATGTTGTACAGTATTAATATTGAATCAACTGTTGGACATTTATCCAGTAACATCTCCGAGATACAGTCTCTCCTCGACTTAACGACGGGGTTCCGTCGCGACGACCAGGTTGTAAGGCGAATTGGTCGTAAGTTGAAAAGGCAAAAATAATACATAGAAATTCTTCTCAGCACCACGAGAACTCTCACTTTTACTCTTGCTAGCCATTTTAAAGGGAATTACAAACAAAAATTTTGTCAGTACACAGCGCGATCACTAATTTCGGGACTCGAAGATACGTATTGTGAAAAATATTTTATGCGACCATGGCCGTCGTATGTCCGGGTTGTCGTAAGTCGAGGAGATACTGTAATTATATCCCCAAACATATTCATAGAATATTAAGGAATCACATAGGCTGCTGTGTCTGTTTTCATTACCTCTCCTGTCATGGTTCTGGGTGGATCGGTGGGAGTAGGGTGGATAATATTATATAAAGATAATAATATGTCGTATTCTTATTTCTTACCGTAGAGTTCGATACCTTCACACTGGTTACTTACAGGAGATTATGGTGTATCTACGTAGAAGTTCACTCCACCGCTCGACATTCCATGATTTATACTTGATAAATGATAATTTAATGAATTCCATTAATTTCCAACATCTATCTCAGTTATTGGTTATACTTTGTCATAACCAATCAGTCATTACCTTTAGTAATAATAAGATAGGATCACAGATACGGGCAGATAATTGCACTTACATTTATTTGTCAAGCTTCCATACAATGATTTACAATTTGCATGGATATATGATTCACTCACGTTCACACTGTAATAAAATTAATCTTCTAAAAGAGGGAATTTTCAACTTGGGAACACGTGTGATTACTCTACTGTGGGTATGACTTAACAGAGCCTTAATTCTTCAAGTGATACATTTACTGCCAGCCTGGATTGCTTTTGTTACAACCAGGCTTCATCACAAGAACTTCTTTCCACGGCCATAACAACAAAAAATACTCTTGGGTTACCACACATTGTCTCGCGTCACTGACAGTCACTGTAGACGGTTGTCGCGGCAAGGAGAACTGGTAAGCGTGACTTGAATTAACCATTTAGGTGCAATAGACCAGCCTGGATTGCTTTTGTCGCAACCAGGCTTCCGCACGTGATATTTCCACAGGGATAACAAACCTAGGTTAACACACTTAGTCTCGTGTCGACGACGGTTCACAGGACGGAGTGGCGGTGGAGGACTCTGTGTGGTGTGGTGTCCCGCTCCCTTTCAGGAGGGAGAGAGTCAAGACGACTTCTTAACTAAGCCATGGCTCAGGGATACTCCTTAAAATGAGGTTTTTGGGTGTGAAGCGATGAACAGTACAACACTGTTTCACTGCCCACCCCCCCTAAAGGCTGGCTAACATACCTAATTGAAAATACATGTCCCAGTTATGCCTCGCCGGGCGTCTTATCTCTAGTAAAACAAACTTTGGAGTTGGTTGCGTGGGTAAGCCTAACGCAACCCATGACACCTTCATTTCAGTGTACAGTACAGTACAGTAATAATGTTTGAAGAGGAAGACATATTCATTAAAGGTGTCTTGTTTTCCCCAAGAGAGCTGATGACAAATATCATCCAGTTATTTTAAGGAGGATCAGGGAAATATTTATATATATTTATTTATTTTTTTACGGGGAATAGCCCACCCGGGCACAGGTCATCGACCCACAGTGGGGCCTGGGGGGGGGGGTGAGAATAAAAAAAATTAAAAATAGAAAAGGAAAACTGGCTTTTTAAATTGAGACAGATTGTATGAGTGGAAACACAGAAGAAGGCAGAGCATTCCACTGTTTGGCCGTGTGAGGAAAGAAGGATGTACCTCTACTATATATACAGTGATATCTCCGTTAGCTGGAACAATTAGTGCAGAGCACTCTGGGAATGAGAGATTTCCGGGTAACGAGACAACTCTCTCAAAGCTGGAAAAAATCCCTCATTCCTGGAACTTTCTGGGTAACGTAATAATCTTCTCGGAAGTTCCAGAAATTGGCCTAAGCATCATCTCTTGAACCCGCGCGCGAAGTGGGGTATGCTATAACGAACGGATCCTACTACGAATATTCCTATAACGAACGGTTTTACCTATAAAATTGAGATTGCTATAACGAACGAAACTCCTACAACGAACATTATTTAGAAAATTTTTTTTTTTTTTTTTTACTAATTTATTGTTTTTTTATTACAAGTATTAATGATATTCTTTATTTCAGGGGTTTAGATGCATATTTATGCACTTTTTTACAATTTTTACAATTTTATATTATATTTTTCAGTGTTAAGTGGTTGTATTTGGGGGCCTGGAACAGATTAATCCTATAACGAACGAATGCTATGTGAACAAGGTTCTAGAACCAATTAGATTCGTTATAGCATACCCCACTGTATATATATATATATATATATATATATATATATATATATATATATATATATATATATATATATATATATATATATATATATATATATATATATATATATATATATATATATATATATATATATATATATATATATATATATATATATATATATATATATATATATATATATATATATATATATATATATATATTGTGATGTAGAGTTTTTGATCTTGGGAATTGAATTTTTTTTTAGCTAAATACAATACAGTACAGTACAGTATACAGTACTCTAATTCAGTTCTTTACTGTGGGTTTTATTACATGTAAGAAATTTGATTACCTGGTAATTGTTTCTTATTTTACTTTTCACAGGGTTCGTATTGTGATGTGACTATTGCCTGTGATGGAAAGTTCTACCCGGTGCACAAACTGGTTTTATCAACATGTAGTGATTACTTTGAACAGATGTTTGAACGGACAAACTGTAAACATCCAATAATAGTGTTAAAAGATATTAGACATGAGGACTTAGAGGCCCTCTTAAACTATATGTATGTAGGTGAAGTGAATGTGTTACAAACTGATTTATCGGGACTAATAAAGGCTGCCGAGTGCTTAAGAATAAAAGGGTTGGCTGTCCCAGATGAAGCACCGAGTGAATCAGAGTCAACACAAGATGGTAAAAGAAATGTACCATGGGCGGGGGATGGACCAGAGGCCAAACGAAGGAGACCGGAAGAAATCTCTCCTGCCACACAGAGACTTAGTCATGCTTCAGGGGATAAGGGAGGGAGGGAGTCTACAGCGAGGCCACCTGCTAGCTACAGAGAACCATTCAGAGCACCCATAAGGGCAAGAGAGCCTGTCAGAGTCCCATCCAGTCCTAGTCCAGTACCTGTACCGCTAAGTCCAGAGACTCGCCTGTCAAATCCCTCTGCTCCAGTGTCCTCTCCAGAACTACCACATCCAGCCTCTCATGAGCCAGGACTTACTACACAACCTGATACCAGTACTACCCAAGGGCCCACTAATTCTAGCGAATTAGGTGGCACAGATAATACAGTAAGTTTTATTTGATTCTTTATAGTTAGCTGTGGCTGTGTGAGAGATAAATTCTGCATCCATAGAAATAGAAGAAATAGTCATGAAATACTTGTCTCAAAAACAGAAAATAACCTTTAGACTAATTAAGAATTGGTTATTTAATTATTTAAAAATTTTGTACAGTAATGGATTACTAACAAATACTCAACTCCCAGTTGATAATAGATGATCCCCTAGTCAAAGAAGAACCTCAGGAGTCATATTCCGAAGCTGAAGAAACCAAAGAATCCATTCAGTCAGCAGACTCCGACCCAAGTTTGAATTATTCTCTTCAACCCGGTGACCAGCCTGGCAGTTTGTCAGGAGAGGCAGCAGGTGCAGGGTTTAATCCTCAAGGGATGAGGCACACTAATCAGCCACAAACCATGGAAGACCTTGTAGCACAGGCTCTGCCTGGGGCATCAGGACTTCAAGGAGTAAGTATAAAATATTTACGTACTCTACTGTAATTTGTAAAATTTTGATTAATGGTCATTCATAAGGATGTTTTCTTCAGGGAAATATTTACTTGTTGGTCCTACTCAAAATTGCTATCAGGGGAGGTGGGGGTAGTTGATGCTTTTGTGGGTATGAGACCGCAAATATTATAAGTACTGTACAGTGGTCCCTCGATTGATGAATGGTTCAATTAACGAAATTTCGGTTAACGAATTAGCTCCCATAAGGATTTTCAGTTCCAGTAACGAACAAAACTTCAATTAACGACAGCCTTACGAGAAACACGCTTTGTTGTGCGCATCAGCTGATCGGCTAGTCCGCCAATACAGTAATTGGTTCTATGTTTACATTAGTTTCCAGTGGAGTAAATATCAAGAAAGTTGTGCTCTTGAATATTTGTGCATTTTTTATATTATAATTATTGGTCATTCTGAAATTTAGTTAACATATTGATAATATACAGTGCAGAAATTATTATGAAACATGAAGAAGGCATTAGAACCAATGCACTCTGTAAAGAATATGGCATGTCATCATCGACTGCCTCTACAATCAGCTGTTTGATATGTAAACAAAGCTGCTGGGAATACGACATACACACCTCAAAGTAAGTTAAAATACAGTATTCTAACGTTTTTTATTTATTATTGTACATTTTACTGTACAGTCCAGTACTGTAGTTAGTTTATATTTAATGTTTTGTTAATTCTATTACCGGTATACAGTACTTTGTATGTACAGTAAGATCTCATATTTTGCGTTTTTGAATTTCGCGAGCACTACCTAATGCAACCAAGTCTTATATTTGGTGTAAAATATCGTGAATTTCACTAGATCCAGCCAGCTGAACGTGAGATCCAGCCAGCTGAACGTGAGATCCAGCCAGCTGAACGTGAGATCCAGCCAGCTGAACGTGAGATCCAGCCAGCTGAACGTGAGATCCAGCCAGCTGAACGTGAGATCCAGCCAGCTGAATGCTGGCCACCTTCTTGAATGAAGTCACAGCCCTCATACCAGTTACAGTCATTTCTGCTACATACATGTGTTGTCAACGCAAATTGGTTGCAACGCGATTGATGAATAGGGGAACGCTGTTTGTAAAACGCGAACTTTTGTATACGAATGTTGGCTATAGCGAGATTCCATCCTCAACGTCTTAAGCGTGGCGCGGGATTATGCAATATTTACAGTTCACGTTCGACATCACATGTTCAATTGAATCGTGTCTTTTGTTTGTGATGTGTTTTTTGAGAGGTACTCTGTTGAATCGTGCGGTTTCTGTCAATTACTCTGATTTTTGCTATTTTCTCCGATTTTGTTGTGTTAGCGATGAATACGGAAAGACAAGGAAAGAAGAATGCTTCAAAGAAGCGTTCTGGTGATCGAATTGCCGGTGGTAAACGTAAAAGTGGCTTACAAGAACGCAACTGTCGCGTTGTAGCCCACGCCATCCTAGCGACTGCCTGGGCTGTTATTGTGTGCTTTTTTGAGTGGTGCTACCACCTGTCGAGTCAAGATAATGGCCTCTACCTCTACTGGGGGTCCTACTGGTGCTGGTGGGACAGACCCACCTAAGCGGCAAAGAAGGAAAAGGAGAAGCGGGACTAGGGGGTTAAGTTTGCCAGGTACTTGATGCAGGATAAGCAGTGTGTGATTAAGTTACTTGAGGAAGTCCTAAAAACTAGTTTCTGGAAAGCAAAATCAGGTCAATAAAGGCAGAATTTGTATCATTTGGAGGTTATAAATGGGAAAATCAGAGGTTGATGTAGAGTGGCCAGTTTATACTGTTATTTTTCCATAAGTTTATGTATTTTCATTTGATGAATTTGAATTTGGCCCAATTTTTCCAGTCTATATTACTCGCGAGATACAAGATCTTACTGTATACTTTTTCTGTGAGTTGGAACCAATTACCCAATATCCCATTGAAATAATAGATTCAGTTAACGAAATTTTCGGTTAACAACCGACTCTGTGGAACCAATTGTGTTCGTTAATCGAGGAACCACTGTACTTTATTATTAAAACTTGTCCACCTTCAGTGACAACCACATTATTGTTATTATTACAAAAGAGCCTTGACTAATGACGGTAATGTGTCCTCCAATATTGCAGTGTAAGGTGAATCATCATATCATGAATCATTAATTACCATTAAAATAAAGTAATAATAATGAGATGAATTCCAAGTTCTGACCTTTTCATATCTTTTGTGTGGCTTTTTACCCTCTTTTCCCCCAAAACAATAAAATTAATAAAATATGCAAACTATATTCTTTAAAGAATGTTTATGAATGCACCTTATACAATATAAATCAATACAGTAATAATAATGTCACACAAGAGGAGATGGGACGCCAGTGTTGTTGTCAGTGTTTACACCCATAATGTCAGTTATCCACCTGAAACTTAAGAAAATAAGACCCTGGTTGTTGTTGTAGTAAAGTTAATGTAAAATAAAATGTATGTTTTAATTGATGTTATTTAATGTACAGTAGAAGTAACCACTGATGGTAAAGATAAAAGTGAGAGACTGATAGTGGAACACCAATGTATACGTGCACACTCAAGGTAACATAGTCATTTATCTTACCTGTATTAAGAATGTGTACAAAAGATTCATTATTGCTTATTACTGAAAATGTATTTGATTGAATTAATGTTTCAATACAATTCATTAATAATATGTAGAATATTAAAACACACAAGAGGAGACGAGATAGCATTGTTTTCGTGAGTGACGATTGTTCTACATAAGAAACAAGAAAATAAGACCCTGGTTGTAGCTGTAGTGAACTTAATGAAAAAAATTGAATTCCTGTATGTATGTTTTAAGTAATGTTATCTAATGTTAATAAATAGAACACTAGACGTAGCTAACCATTAATGGTAAAGAAATAAAGAGAGACGATTGGGAACGCCAACGTGTGTACAGTAAGTGCGTACATGTGAAAACATATCGTCATTTCTCTACATATGAATATGAAAACAACACTTATTTACTGTTCATATATGTTTTAAATAATATTTACGAATGTAAAACAAAAATTCTACTCGCCAATGGTGGTAAAGTCTAAAACATAAGGACAGTCAATGATGTTGTGTGAGTTTATACTCAGATGTTGAAGTCATTGGGTTCAACTCTGGCTGAAGCTGTAGGTTCAACTCTGGCTGAAGCTGTAGCTTTCCATAAAGCTGTTGCTGAAACTGTTACTGAACCTGAAGTTGTTATTGAAGCTGCTTATGATGCTGAATTTGATGATGTAGCTGAAGTTGATGGTTTAGGCCTTCGAATAATAAAGCTGTCAAAAGAACCTTGCACAGCTGCTTTCTTTTCTCATTATACATCTTTATGTAGAGGTCATTTGTGTTTATTTAAATTTTAATGCTTTGTTCTGTTAATGGAGCCACTTCAGAAAATATGTTCATTGCTTACTCCATATAATATCACAGACCTCTCACCTTTTTCATATCGTTTTAACACATCTTGTTTCTCGGCTAAGCTTATACACTTTCTATTAGCTTTTGAACCAGCACTACCATCACTTGCTCTCTTGCTCATGTTGAATAGGGATGCAAAAATGCTGTAAGAAACCTGAGAAAGTTTTTCTGCTTTTCCTGTTCAGATGCGTGAAAACAAAGGGCCCGCCAGCTGTGATTGTTTATATTAGTGATGCTGGCGTCACCACTAACAAGCCCAGCAGTCTCGTGCGCAAAGCGTGTCTTTTTTTTTAATATCCGGATTTAGTTATTATATATACAAAAACTTAATATATTTTTTAATTTAATTGTGAATGCGAAGAAAATAATAGTGTAAATTGAATTGGGTCCTAAATTAACCAGGGTGTTAGATATGAATCTTTGTTAGTTGAACCGTCGTTATCGGAGGCATTTCTGTATTGTGCTTATTTGATATGTATTCGTAATGGCATCACTATTGTTGTGCATATGTCAAGACCCACCTCGTCTGAATAGTACTGTAAGTGGAAATATTGCCAAAATTTAAATTTTGGTCAGAATAGTCTAACTGGTCTATTTCTCTTCCTTAGTATGTGTAATCGCCAATGAAGATGACTACCGGTATAGGCTTGCAGGATAGTTAGACTTGTTACGATGGACTCGAATAATATAATTCGGTCATAACCTGTCAATACAAAGTACATATCAGTGAATCAATTCCTTAACACATGATATAAAATCTTAACATAATTATTGTAGACACAGTAATCATAGCAGGACACAGTAACAGAACCACATCTATCTATTCCTCAAATTCTAGTGTCTATAATGTTGTGTTGAATTATATTGGAGAATGTGTAATTATAAGATAAGTAATTCTCATATATGTAAATTATTTAATCATGTCGATCACACTTACTTGTTACGAGTCTAATGCCAGCAGAGGTTCTTAGTTGTTCACAGTATGTCTGTAAGAGGTAGTCTGACCGGGTACTCTCAGTGTATCCATGCGTGGATGGCCCCTCACCATCTGTAAAATTACATATTCAGCAAATACCAGGGTAGCTCAGAGTAAACACCCTGATAGCTTGCTTCTCTCCCCTCTCTTATATTTTCACTACCTCATAACTAAAGGTTTCCTGTGGGTAGTAACAGTGTGCGTACAGTAATAATCTATCATAAAGAATACTTTTGAAAGATTTATATAAAAAACTAGCAAGGAAAAAAAATGTCTAAACATTTTGGCGACTGTGTACCTAACCACCACTTATTTTTATTTTTTATTCTGGAACTCCATTACATTTCACATTATCTTTTTTCTGAGTACACCATCCTCTTCCTCATGATTTACTCTTTCTTGCCACTTGTGTTTTATACTGACTGATGCAGTGATGTGGGTACAGCATTAAGAGGAATCAACAGTTATCTCTCGTTTGTCACTTATACTTGTCAACATAGTTTTTATTTATTATAAAAATTTTTTTTGAGGGTTTCATGTGATTTCCCAACTTTTTTTTTTACATAGAAAGGCATCATTTGAATAAATATTTGAAAATATCTTAGCCACGAATATCACTCTGGATGAAAATATCTTCTCCGTGATTTCTGGTCATTTTACGGGCTCCAAACAGAGCGAGTGACAGGCTCATTAAATAAAATTCAAGTGATCTTGAGAGTTTTAATACCACATTAGTAGCATTGACTTAAACTATGAAAAAATGTATTCATGAAGTGAAGTGGACAAGACCTGCTTAGCCTTGGCATGTTATTGGTTGCTTTACACTATAGACAGTCGTAAAAAATTTTGATGCTTAATTAAAGTTCTTTGGACTTTTGATATTAAGGAATCTTTTGCAAATAGCAGAGTCTTGGGAGGTATTTGTTACAATATTCCACCAGACTTATTTGTGAATGTGTGCAGCAGGTGACTTATCTTGGTCCCATTTAAGCTCAGTAAGGGAATGGATTTGCCTTTTCCCTTTGGTTCTCTAGAGGCAGGAAACATGGGGTGTCTGAATATAGTTACAGCATATGGTACTTGTGAGTGATGTTCACAAGAGACAAGGAAATATTTCGCTGATAGGCCATTGGACCAGTGGCTTCAGTACTAGTGCCTACTATAGTACTATGGTTTGAGATGAGATTGATTGTTTACCATCTACAGGTTTTTATTTGTTTATTTTGTAATTATTATTTATTCTTGTCCCTCACAATACATTTCTGAGCCATTTTGGCCTAGAAACAATTTTGATGGAGTGTGTGGAGGTGGGAAGTCTACAAAGTTATTCTTTTCCCTTACTACAAATTACTTTAAAATAAATCTAACCTTCTGTTGAGGTGCAGTGTTGTATTAACAGTTGAAACTCATCTCCTTCCATTTCATGCCTTCAGATACTTAAACTATCTAGTGAAGGGCAACTGGCTGCAAATGAGCGAGGAAACCCTGTTAGGCCAAACCAGAGAATAGGGATGTGTTGTTGGTTTTGTGATCTCAGGCTTGCCCAGTCTCATTCCTCTACTGTGTGAGGGATAACACTTGGGCTTCTGATTACTCTTTCTAGGTCTCTTGCTGCTTAATGGGAGATTAATTAGCCTTTCAGATAAATCCCATCCACTGATGTCAGTCTCCAGCACACATACTTTAAAAACTTAGGTCTGTGCATAGCCAAATATGGATTTGCAGGATTATTATTATTTTTTTAATTTAAAATGTTATTTTGTGATTTTTCCTCAGAAATCTTTGTGGGAGGGAGATCGAGGTCTACTTGGGTTGCCTTTTGAAAGCTATTCAGGAAATCAGTCCAGAGCTTCACAAATGGTGAGTATATATAAATCACTATTTTGACCTTCCACAACCAAACTTTTCTGGTAATCCCATGTAGCCGGTGTTGTTAAGATGGGTGATTGGCTATTTAGCTATTGATGATTGCATAGTGTTAACTATGAATGTCAGACTATTTCTGGGTTATCTTTTATATGTGGTGTAATTGGAAAAGTAAAGGTGGTCAGTGCAATACTGGCCATGCTGCCTCCTTTCATATTGATGACTTAGTATACAGTTTGCTATATTCTCACTGTTTCTAATGGTTATGAGACCCACTATCACTCTCAGAATAGACAAAAATATTAAACAAGATTTTGAGTATAATACATGATAAGTAATCTTTCAATCTTTCCTAACCCTTCTCTTTTCTGGTGGAGTTCAGTGGCTATAATCTCAACAGTGTAAACAACCATTCCTCTACATTTTGTTTCTTACCTGGGAGCCATAACAGACTTTAACACAAGGTATAACAGTGTGTGGAAAGGACAGTTACTGTTTACATACACATGTAAACCTGGGATAAAGGGATGCATCACTGTGATGATCTATATCCAAGCTTCCATTTCTGTTTGTGATTAGTCGACCAACAGGGACGTAGTTTGTTACACAAGTGCCGAGTTAATCATGAGACAATAAAGAACCGTTTTGGGAGTCCTGAATTGGAGTTGACTACAGTATCTGTAAATGCTCATGGCTATGTTGGAGAAGACCTATGAACTATTGTAATACAGGTTGTACCTCTCTAGTCCGGCAACCTCGGGACCTGACCGGTGCCGGACCATGGAAATTCACCCTTTTCCTGGACAGATAGTGACTTGTGGTTATGCCTGGAAGCACTAGCACCATTTTCTCTGCGTCATGGTCTCTTTGAAGACATATTGAAGGGTTAAATGTCGTATAGTAGCTTCTCAAATTTCGCGAGTTTTTAATTCTTAACGTATTTTATTGGAACACAAAAAAATAAATAAATAAAAATTTTTACGGCGGAAACTTGAATTTCGACGGGTTTGAACGGCCTGCCAACGTGCAGACGACGGGCATAATCGTGTAAACAGTGTCATTTCTCTTATGTACAAAAGATTCATTATTGTTTATTACTGAATGTCTTTTTTATTGAATTAATGTTTATGTGTGCAAAATGAGGAATACAATTCATTAATAATACGTAGAAAATTAAAACACGTGAGGAAATGACACAGCATTGTTTTCGTTGATTACAAAACCAGTGACTGACTGGTTCTACATATAAAACTGAAGAAAATAAGACCTTGGTTGTAGCTGTAGTAAAATTAATATGGTTGTTTTAAGTAATGTTATTTAATGTTAATAAATGGAACTATAGAAGTAGCTAACGATAATGGTAAAGAAAAAGAGAGATCGCATATGTAAGTGCGCATGCGCACACGTGAAAACATATCGTCATTACTTTACATAAGAATATGAAAGCAACACTTATTTACTGTTCATATATATTTTAATTAATGTTTCTGAATTTGTTTTTATTGAATTAATGTACGTGTGTGCAAAATTAACAATAAAATTTATTAATAATACTTGGAATATTAGAGGAGACGAGACGGCTGCCGGCATTGTTTATGTTAAAGCTTACGAAACCAGTGACTGATTGGTTCTACATATAAAACTGAAGAAAATAAGACCCTGAGTTTAGCTGTAGTAAAATTAATGTAAAAAATGAATATGGTTGCTTGAAGTACCTGTAATGTTATTTAATGTTAATAAATGGAACAATATAAGTAGCTAACCATTAATGGTAGAAAAAAAAGTGAGACTGCTCGTATGTAAGTGCGCACATGTGAAAATATATCGTCATTACTCTACATAAGAATATGAAAGTAACACTTATTTACTGCTCATATATATTGAAGGGTTAAATGTTGTACTCTGTATAGACAAGCAGAGAGAGAGAGAGGGAGAGCAGCCGAACTGCCGGATGTAAACAAACCTTAATTTCCCGCGGCTTTTTTTTTTTTTTAAGGGGATTAGCCCACCCGGGCATAGGTCACTGACCCACATTGGGGCCTGAGGGGCAAAAATTTAATACTCCTGTAATAATAATAATAATTCAGATAAGGAAAAAAAAAGAAAAAAGAAAAAAAAAGCTGCCTATCTACCTATTGGACAAACTAAAATCGTTCCGGACCACGGGAGTTTCCGCACCACAGAATGCCGGACTAGAGAGGTACAACCTGTATAAACAGTAATGTTGACACAAGGTAGAAAGTTTACAATGCAAGACCTAGAAGCTTCAATGGCAGCTTCAAAGCCTGTCAGAGTTTGAGAATAAACTATCAGAGATTTGTGGCTATGGCTGAGTAAAATTGAAGCTATTTTGATGCACTTAGTTTATCATTGGTTCATGGGTCAGTTTTTCAGAAATGTTGTCCAGTATATCACCTACATCAAGATTCTTGTTACTGTACTTGTACCTTGTGGCTGTGGTAAATCCTTCATCATCAAGGCTCTTGCTACCGAGTTTCATATGAAAGTTCCTGTCAAAGATCCACTGTGCTTAGCAAGTCCTACAGAGAATCTGATCATAGTACATACTGTATGGATAATTTTACAGGGTAATGACCAATATCCACGTATAGAAGTTTGATGGTCTCACTGGCAAGAAGAAATTTAGTGAATATGGAGGGACTGGTGTTGAGAGGTGCATCATAAACCATCTTAGGGTTCAGCTGGACAGTATCTTCATTTCTACAGAAACTAACCCTCCTGATTTATATAAGGATGTGATTCAACCTGACCGCTTCAATGAATACTAATGTACAAATTTTACGTCATGTAAGACGCACTTTTTTGTCTGGAAAATGGCAAAAAAAATCAGCCTGCGTCCTATTTGTGAAGTTGAGGTCTCCCGTAAGCTAATGAATACACCAGTTGCTGTCTCCAGTAGGCTAAATTCTACCTAACCCAACTCCAGAATTTCAAATATGTTATTGCTTACTTGAACATATTATTATTTTTAATTATTTAAAAAAAATTATTTATTCTAAATATAAAAGCTTGATTTATAACTACTGTACTGATGATTATAACCTGAAACGATTAACGTCTGTACGGCAGACACCCAACTCTTCAGAGCTAAGCAGTAACCATTTCTGAACTCTTACAAGCATTTCTATCTATTATTGTCATACCTGCAACATTTATCTCTAAATCTACAAATACCTGATGCAAATGAAGATTTACAGTTAACTTTCTTTTAAAATTCACATCTGTTAACATCGCTGGCTGTATTGTAGCCAGGCTAGACTTGTCACTATAACCACCAGGCTATTGGTGTTATGGTTTGTCATCTCGTATTTTCGGGTAGATATATGTAACTTTCTTAATTTATTTTTACTCAGTTACATGCACACACCATCCTACAAACATAGTGTGAAAAGTACAGGAATAATTGTCCTTAGGGCAAACACATAAAGGGAATATACTGTACATTTCTTTACACTCGAGTTAGTGGGAGAAGGCGGGACGTGTTGGGGGAGAGTTGCTCGGGAATCGACGGAGGTAACGTCTGCGTTATAATGATGAACCAGGGAGTACAGTGGTCCCTTGATTAACGAACGGTCCAATTAACAAAATTTTGGTTAACGAAATAGCTCCCATAAGGATTTTCAATTCCTTTAACGAACAAAACTCCGATTAACGACAGCCTTAAGAGAAACACGCTTTGTTGTGCGCATCAGCTGATCGGCTAGTCCGCCAATACAGTAATTGGTTCTATGTTTACATTTGTTTCCAGTGGAGTAAATATCAAGAAAGTTGTGTTCTTGAATATTTTTGCATTTCTTATATTAAAATTATTGATCATTCTAATTTAGTTAACATATAATATAGACAGTACAGGGAACAGTTTTTGTGCGCCCATCAGCTGATTGAATCACCCAACAACGCTTCTCAGTTTAACTTTGTTTACAGTGGAGTGAACATCCAGTTTGTTGGTCTCTTGAATATTTTTACATTAAAATTATTGGTCATTCTGAAATTTATTTCACATATTGATAATATACAGTGCAGAAATTATTATGAAACATGAAGAAGGCATTAGAACCAATGCACTCTGTAAAGAATATGGCATGTCATCATCGACTGCCTCTACAATCAGCTGTTTGATATGTAAACAAAGCTGCCGGTAATATGACATACACACCTCAAAGTAAGTTAAAATACAGTATTCTATTGTTTTTTATTTATTATTGTACAGTTTACTGTACAGTACAGTACTGTATTTAGTTTATATTTAATGTTTTGTTAATTCTATTACCGGTATACAGTACTTTGTATGTACTTTTTCTGTGAGTTGGAACCAATTATTCAATATCCCATTGAAATAATAGAATCAGTTAACGAAATTTTTGGTTAACAAACGACTCTGTGGAACCAATTGTGTTCGTTAATCGAGGGACCACTCTATATACAAATGGTGTTAAACTTTCATTTGGCTTTTATTTACTGGTTTGCCAATACAGTATTTTTTGTTGTTACTTATTTATGAGTATTATTTTGATCTATTCCTCACATTTACTGGTACCGTATACAGGGGTAGAAATTCACCCCTTTTTTCAGGTAGCTAGCTGGGCTAATAGAACCAAATAGTTACTAGCCCTTCCCAAAGTTTATTAGCCCTTCCAAAATTTTACGAGACATTAAAAAAACATTAAAATTTCAATAGTTGACATATTCTGGGTAGGCCTACAAAGAAAGTTGTTTACTTTGACACTTTATTTAACTTAATAGCAATAGGTAAATTATATTCAAATTGCAAACACTGGTGTGCACAACATACTATTATAATATGGATAATCTGTTTCCTTGTTTACTTTATATCATTAGCTGAAATTTATAATTTAGATCCTCGTAAAAAACTACTGTACTGTATGTACAGTATATGTAACTGCAAGTAACTGAGGGCTTCTTCACTGGATTTGGTCAATAAGTTTCTGTATATGCTCCTCATCCAATTCATCAATATCGTTCAGCACTTCCTCTGTGCTGTAGCTATCTGTGTTGTTTTACCCATCAACACGGTGGGCCCCTGTTGTTAAAAATCTATTGATGGCTTGCTCTGGATTGAAGTTCCGAACACATTCTGACTGCAACTGGACCACTAGGAGATCTGTCAAGTGGTCATCTGTGAGATGACTGCACCAGTGTCTTGATGAGCTTGACCTGACTGAAGCCATGTTCAACATAGCAGAACTGGTTGGAATGGACAGCAGAAGGTCAACTAAATGGGGAAAGGAACCACATTTTGTTCTGTATGATTCATTTATTTGCTGCCAGGTCAGTTTTGAAACAGGTGACTTCTTACTCATTTTGTAGAGATAGCATTTGAGTACAGCTTGGTTGGACCTACTTCTGCCTCCCTTAGTGTTTTCTCAAGAGTCTGAGCCAGCTCTCCCACAGCGGTGTCTCCGAAACCTTCATTCTCTGTGTATTCTGCAGGCTGCAGCTTGAAATCCAGAATCCATGAATTATGCAGAACTGTACTGGCCATGTCAATAAATCTTTTCTTTAGACTTGTAATCAGAAATATCAGCATATCAGGCCTTGCAGCCATGAAGGTGCTATTTCTATCACTCAGATTCTCTCCTTGGAATGTGGTAATGTCACCTTCCAAAATCTTCCTCAGACTTGGTCCTGGGCTTGTCAAATATTTGTTGAGTATGTCAACTGAGGCCTGAATTTCAGTCATGATAGTAGAAACATTGGTTTGTCTGTGTTCAAACTGCTCTGAAAGGCGCCCAAGGCAATGCAAGATATCCAGGAGGAGGTGGATGTACTTTATTACATCAGCAGTGGTTAGAAGCATTAGATAGTTCTTAGCTTTTCTGGATGAATCCTTGTGGTATGCAGGGTCATTAGGGTTCTGTATCTGCTGCATGTGAACTGCAATAGCCTTGTAAGTCTTGTAAATGTTCTAAAGCCTGCAGCATATGAGGGAACCACCTTGTACCACCCACACGTGTTGGGACCAAAAATGGTAGCTGACATATTTCATGAGCCCGCTTCAACATGCTCCTGTTGAGACAACTTTTCATAGAATTGGTCTATTCCTAGCAGCAGTAGGTCAACTTTCTTGGCAAGTGGTACACCCTTCACTGCATCCTAAGCCAGTTCAAAGTTATGTGCAGTGCAGTGAATACCTTCCAACTCTGGCCACTCTAAATCACTTCTCAACCAAGCTACCAAGCCTTTTTTTGCAACCTGTCATAACACTGGCCCCCTTCTGTACCAATACCAACAAGCTTCTTCCTCCAAGTGTCACCTTAATATGAATCTAATGTACAGTACTGTTGATTGTTCATATTGATGCTGCTGCTCTAACTTTCTCCACCCCACCCCGTTTTTTTTTTTTGCCTGTTGGTGGATTAACATTCTTCCACATATCAAACAATCCCCTTTGGCAACTCATTATTATTAATAATAATGTCTGTGTTAGTTAGACATCACGTCAATACTGTAGTGAGTTATTTGTTGTACTGTACTAAGATCGCTGACTCCCTGGGAGCAGCAGGGCGCAACGACCAAGTACACGGGTTCACGCGCACAACATATGTTTGCTCTTGCAATGCTTTTTATAAACTGGGCACTAAGCACTTCCTTGTGGTAAAGCAGACTGTCAAAAATATAAATTTTTGCTCAAAACTACTGGATAGCTTCTAGACACTGCGAGTCTGACATGCTATTCGCCTGCTGGGTGATTAAAAACCTATAAAATTTCTAAGATCTACTCACCCATCTGATATTTTGGTTGCCTCGGGCTGCCAGATGTATGTGAATTTCTACCCCTGGTATTTATTATTTTAAGAACACAATGGCTACAGGAGGAAAGTCCACACTAAAAGTTTTTTCCTAAATACTGTACAGTACTCCCTGGTAAAATAGGGGTGCGTCTTGTATGGCTGTGCATCTTGTATGCCATAAAATACGGTACTTGGTTAACCTGTCTGAGCATGAAGATATACAATACAGTATACTCGGTAAACACTTGTTACCTAGCAAGTTGTTAGAACCTGTGCTGTTTGATAACATTGTCAAAGAAACAACTTTCTTCACAGTTGCTGACCTTCTTCAGTTGGGTGAGGAGTTCAAGACTGAATAACAGGCAAAATATTGAATATTCATGATCCTGAGTACACCATCAACAGTAATAAAAGCTGTCAGGAAACACACTATAAATGAGCAAAGGTGTATCCCTTCAATATTAGATTACATAACATTTTAAAATGTGGAGTGAGAAAGCAGAAAGGTGTGGGTGATTAGAGAGATGAAATGGAAAGGAGTGGTAACATGGACTGGTGTTGGCAAGCGCTCCTCAACAGCTGATATTAACTCGCTACCACACTGTCACACAAGACCCTAACCCTGGATGCTTGTTGTCTGAATTCCCTTTTTTTGTGTGTAAGAGAGAGAGACTCCATCACCACCCACGCACCCTCCAACACCACCCACACACACACTCCAACACCACCCACACACACACTCCAACACCACACACACACACCCTCCAACATCACCGATACACACACACCCTCCAACATCACCGATACACACACACCCTCCAACATCACCCACACACACCCTCCAACACCACCAACACACACCCAACACCACCCACACACCCTCCAACACCACCCAAACACACCCCTCCAACACCACCAACACACACCCCTCCAACACCACCAACACACACCCAACACCACCCACACACCCTCCAACACCACCCACACAAACCCTCCAACATCACCCACACACACACCCTCCAACATCACCCACACACACCAACATCACCCACACACACACACACCCTCCAACATCACCCACACACACACCCTCCAACATCACCCACACACACACCCTCCAACACCACCTACACACCCAACCACCCACACACCCTCCAAACACCACCCACAGACACCCCCCAACACCACCCACACACACACCCTCCAACACCACACACACACACCCCCCAACACCACCCACACACACCCTCCAACACCACCCACACACACCCTCCAACACCACCCACACACACCCTCCAACAACACCCACACACACCCTCCAACACACCCACACACACACGCCCAACACCACCCACACACACCCTCCAACACCACCCACACACACCCTCCAACACCACCCATACACACCCTCCAACACCACCCACACAACCCGACACCACCACACCCCGGCACCACCCACACACACCCTCCAACACCCACACACACCCTCCCACACCACCCACACACACACACACACCCTCCAACACCACCCACACACACCCTCCAACACCACACACACACCATCCAACACCACCCACACACACCCTCCAACACTACCCACACACACCCTCCAACACCACACACACACCATCCAACACCACCCACACACACACCCTCCAACACCACCCACACACACACCCAACACCACCCACACACCCCGACACCACCAACACACACACCCGACACCACCCACACCCTCCAACACCACCCACACACACCCACACCACCCACACACACACACCCTCCAACACCACCCACACACACCCTCCAACACCACACACACCCTCCAACACCACCCACACACACCCTCCAACACCACCCACACACACCCTCCAACACCACCCACACACACCCTCCAACACCACCCACACACACACCCTCCAACACCACCCACACACACCCTCCAACACCACCCACACACACCCTCCAACACCACCCACACACACCCTCCAACACCACCCACACACAGCCTTCAACACCACCCACACACACCTCCAACACCACCCACACACCCAACACCACCCACACACACCCTCCAACACCACCCACACACACCCTCCAACACCACCCACACACACCCTCCAACACCACCCACACACACCCTCCAACACCACCCACACACACCCTCCAACACCACCCACACACACACCCTCCAACACCACCCACACACACCCTCCAACACCACCCACACACACACCTCCAACACCACCCACACACCCCACACACACCTTCCAACACCACCCACACACACCCTCCAACACCATCCACACACACACCCTCCAACACCATCCACACACACACCCTCCAACACCATCCACACACACACCCTCCAACACCCCCAACACACACACCCTCCAACACCACCCACACACACACCCTCCAACACCATCCACACACACACCCTCCAACACCACCCACACACACCCCAACACCCCCAACACACACACACACACACACCATGTGAGACATTGAGACACAGTGCCTTGCCACATTGCCAGCATTTATTATTTGCCTGTTCCCATGTATTCATTATTATACAGTATATTCTTGTATGATCAGCTTCTTATGGTGTATGTTTTACCATTGATAATATAAAATATTAAATACGATAGAACTAATATATAATTACTGTAGTAATTTGACATCAAAATTAAAAGGCAATTGAATTAGAAGGTAATATTTTCCCCTCAAGTTTCCACTTATTTTTATTGATTCATTACAGTATTGATACATTATAAAAATAATTATTGTACTGTACACAGAAGGGTACAGGTATTTATAAGCACAAATTATTACAGAGGCAGGAGTGGGAGACGAACCTTTTGGGGGTGAGTTGTCAGTCCCCCCCCTCCAGGGTCTCTCCCCCTCCTCACACCACCATCTTCTTACTCCATACTGAATTTTAAAATGTTATGTGATGTAATGTTGACGGGATACAGTACAGGTATTAAATAAAAGAAAAGATGATATATAATTTGTATAATGAACATCTGTGGTAAAATGAACAAAATAGAACAACTCCTTCTGGTGGTAGCGGTTTCGTCAAAAATTACTGACTATTGAATTATAGGAATATAATGTGAATCATATTAAGATACTGTACAAAACTAAATTTGGGTGCATAGTCAGGAAGAGATGGCAGGTGGTTGAGGAAGGAGGGAGGTCAAGTTACCTCTTGGCCCTCGGCCGTCAGCCTGCTATCCCATAATGACGACAGTATGCAATTCACCATATTGTAATTCTCATATTAATTAACTTCATAAGGTGTTTGGTTAATAAAACATTATCGAAAATATAATTAATTTCGCCCCCAAAATCTCACACTTAGTCCCAGATGAGCTACTGCACTGTAGTATATTATCAGTCTCTTGTTAACAGAGGTAACAGCTGATGTTTCCACTGACACCGGCCTCCGCAATACTGTAAAGTTGTCAACACTCGCCCGACACCTCTCTCCCAACTACAGTAGAGTTGCCAACATTCGCCCAACACCTCTCTCCCCAATACAGTAAAGCTACACACTTCCCCAATACATTAAAGTTGCCAACACTCGCCCGACACCACTCTACCCAATACGGTAAAGTTGCCAACACTGCCCCTACACCGCTCTCCCCAATACAGTAGAGTTGCCAACACTCGCCATCTCACACGCTGTTGTTGTCACCCTTCATATAAGTAACCCTCACTTACGCCG